AATGATGAATAATCCCCCCCCCCGCCCTCCTTTAATTACAGATAAAGAACTTGACTAGTATTAATCAGAGGACAGAACTCTGTGGGGTATTTCCAGAGCTCCCCTGGAAAGATCTCATTTGGATCATAATTCCACACAAGAACTTAGGAGCGTGTGATTTTTGATCCATTTAAGAAGATCTACTTTAATGCTCGGTCCTATTAATAATACTTAACAGAATGTCATGCACGATAAAGTTGAATGTCTAAGAGAAATCTGAATATTCCAAATGGTTATTGTCAAAACCCACATTAACCATCCAATTAAAATAATAATTTTACTAGGCCTATTTGATACAAAACTGTTATAACTGACAGTATTTTTGCTATTGCCTTCTCTTCCCTACCGATTTGAATCAGTAGAGAATCAGGGGGTGAAGAAGAATGTCAGTGTTATGGAAAGTTCTTCCCATTGCACCATTCTCCTTGCCTCGTGTCAGCATAGCCATACCACATTTTTACAGCTGATGGTTAGACCTGAGCCCATACTTTCTTTTTTGGGGGCTATTCAAATACCGGAGCTAGCACATCATCTTTTGTTCCTTACACTGTTACTCTGTCCTTCTCCTGAGAGTTACTGTTGTTTAATAGGGAATCTGCACAGGCATCTTCATGACAGTGCAAAGGGTCCTGTTCAGAAGCACTTCTTAAATCTGACTGTAAATGTAGTCCTGACCTTCGCTTCTGAACTTTTGTCGTGTGCTTGGTGTAAAAACTTCAAAACCGTAACTTCTCTCCTGGGTAGAAGCAAGTTGAAATTGCTCTTTTCAGAAAGCAGAGTACGAAGAGGAGACGCAGGACTAACATGCACATGAAACAGAACCAGCACTGCTGAAGGTGCCATTTTATTTCTGTTTTGTTCTGTTAGCTTTAACTGTGTGTAGCTTTATGGCCTTTTGTTTGAGTAGGTGCCCTAGGCTAGATGTGGCCCAGAAGAAGTCTTACTTTCCAGGGATTATTCATTTCCTGTTTGGGCTTCCTTTTGCATACACTGTTCTCTCTCCTTGCCTCTGTTTTTGTTCTTGCATACTCATATTTTGTCTTCAGAAATAATTTGCATTAAATAATACTTTATAGATTCTGAAACTCAACATAAGCTGGGGTTTGAGAGCACCCGGTGAATGTGAGCGGAATACAGGTAAAAGGCAGAGAGTGACCTTGCTCAGAGGAGTTTATCCCATTCCTCACATCCGTGAACCTTGATTCTTTGTCTTTGGCTTGGCAGAAATCCTTCCTTTAAGATGGAGAAGATCAGAGGTCCTTGTTTAGACTAGGAAAAAAGATTGAAATTACATTCAAGTTTGCTAACATTAGCTAAATATGGCAGCCTAAATTCAGTTACTTTCGTAATTAGGAGAATGCTAATGAGTAGCCACCAAAATCAAATTATCAGCAATTGCTCTCCAATTATTACTTTTTTTTTTATTTTTTAATACTGTGTGAGTGGGCAAGCCTAATGAAAGGTGCCATCTTACGAGTTTACTGATTATCAGGTTTTATTAGTTACAATCCCATTTGGTGATCCTGAGTTATTTATTGACAGTGTGGTACAGATATGTATTAATGCAGACACATATATTGACTAACAGGAATCAAAGTTTTGAAGTAGGTAGCCTACGAATCTAGTGCTCTTAAGAGATGCAAGTGCATTATCTTACCACAGGATAACATCTACTGAAATAGATTCAAACTGTATTTCACTTGTGTTTGGCATTATAAATGTCCTGAGGGTTTTTCATAAGAAAATCAAGCCTCTAAGTTCTCAAACTTTCTCAGAAAAATGCATTACCCAAATCTTATGTGACCCCAGACCTACTTCTTAAATATCTTTATACCATGGTAATCTTTATGCCCAAAGGACCTCTGATTGTCTCCTGATAATAAATTTTTTTGCAAAGTGAGTGTTGGACATTTCACTTGTTTTAACACAAGTTCTCCTTCCTGTCTGTATGCAATATTCATGTGTCTGAAGGAACCAGAAACAGTGCAAGTGCTGAAAAACTAAAACTGTGTTCAAACAAACAAAAACCAAAACAAAAAACCCAACAAGTTTGTCCACTTGTAAGAAAAATAGTTATTTTG